TAGGGAAATTTATAGATCTGGGTTATTTTCATTAGCTATTCCTTGTTCTCCAGTATGATAATCCAGATTCAACCATGTAGATGTAGGACCTTCAGGGTGGGAACTGTATTGTGACTGTGATTTCAGAAAAAAGAAAAAAAATCACACATCTGAGAAGAAACTGTTTTGATCACTGGTGCACTGAAGAAGAGGTCTTTCGTGGCAGTGTTTCAGAGGCGAAGCACTACATTGGGTATGCAGGCTGTGGCAAAGGTGCTGGCTCTGTGGGACAGAGATGTCTAGATCTACTGGAAGAACTGCAGTTTATGCAAAGTAGAGCCAGCTTTAAACTGTCATGAGTTGGAGGCTGCTCATCAGTAGTTGCCACAGCACAGAGCTCTGTAGGACTTAACAAGTGCAAGCAGTAGCCTGGCTAAAGTTTCATACCAATTCAAACACTCATAGGCAGAAAAATATGGAAAGGCTTAACTGGAATTATATCTTCAATGTACATTTCCTAACGCGTCTGTTGGGATTATTGTGTGACTAGCAGCTATGCAAAGTTTCACCATTCCTGTCATGTTTTCCTGGCTCACCTTACTGCTGGGTTATATATTTGTGCATCACTCGTGGATACATGTTTCTCCTGTGACTATAGAACAGCATAGCTGGTATATATTTTAGTAGCTAGTGTCTGTTAAACATTTCAAATGTAGCTTCTAATCTGAAAAGCGCTTCCTTTTCTTCCTCTCCCAGTACTCTTTAACAAGAGCTACATCAAATGGATTCCACAGCAGCCTATGCCTCCCTGGTGAAAGATGTTAATTTGTTTGAGCTCACAATAAACTATCATCCATGTCAGCTGTTGCTCATTGGAGATGAAGCTTCCCCAGTGCTGGTGAGCATCAATGGGCAAGTTCTAATTGCAGCATCTTGTTATGGGAAGGGCCGGATGGTGGTTGTTTCCCATGAGGGAATCTTGGAGGACTCCAAGTTTTCCCAGTCCCTCAGAAATGCTGTGGAGTGGCTCAAGCCTTCCCCCAAGGCTCTGGTTGGGGTCCATCCTCCTTTGGATTCCGCTGCTGCTCAAGACTGTCACAAAAGTACAGGCTGGGGCAGAGCTCAGCCCCTCCCCGGGGGTGTATTGTATGGATGCTTGTGGCAGCACACAGGTGGAAGACGTGATTAGCTTTGTAAAGGAGGGTGAAGGGCTGCTTGTTGGTGGCCAGGCCTTGCACTGGGCTAGTCACCACAGCAAGGAGAAGGTGGTGTTTGAATTTCCTGGGAACCAGGTGACCTGTACTGGTGTGTACTTCACAGGCTGCAAGGGAGAGACTGGCACTTTCTCAGTTTCTAAAGAAATGCCAAGAATTACTCTGGTCACCCAGTTAGTATTTAAATATTTGTTTGCAATGTCTTTAGGTTGCATATAGTGTTTATTCTTCCTTGGGTTTTCTGCTAATGGCCTGCTGGAATGAAAAGATCTCTTCTCCCTGACCGTGAATAGAGATTGATGTGCAGGAGTTGAAGGTGCTTCTACAGCTTATTGAGAAACGAGCAACAAGCTTGGCTCATGTGCTCCATGTTAAAATGTTCAACGGATGACTGTTCAGGAAGAAACTTTTGGTTGGGTCTGATCTGCCATGCTACGATGCATCTAGCCTTTTTTTTCCCAATATGTCAATAGCACAGCTATGACCACTTCCTGGTGCAGGACCTGGGACACAAAAGATGATGTTTGTCTTTCCTGCTAATCTCCTGTGACGTAGTGTAAATGTTAAGGCATTTTTAACAGAGTTCTTAGCTTTGTTATAGAGTGTCGCTGCACTTCAGGGTGCACTTCAAAGTCCCTGGGAAGCATGGGGTAGATACTGTGTGGATCCACGAGGTTTTGACATTGTCCTCACAGGTCCATAATCTAGCAGTGCATTCCCCACTAGATAGTGCATTGTATAGATGCCTGCTGGTGGAGGCAACTACACTCAGTAGCAAAGGTGATCCTTTCCTGCCCAATGCTGTGAATAGAATAGAATAGAATAGAATAGAATAGAATAGAATAGAATAGAATAGAATAGAATAGAATAGAATATTTCAGTTGGAAGGGATCACCTAGTCCAACTGCTTGACCACTTCAGGGCTGACCGACAATTGATGCAAATTATTAAGGTCATTGTCCAAATGCCTCTTGAACACTGACAGCCATGGGGCATTGACCACCTCCCTAGGCAGCCTGTTCCTGTGTTCGACCATCCTTCTGGTAAAGAAATGCTTCCTAATGTCAAGTCTGAACCTCTCCTGATGCAGCTTTTAAACATTCCCATGCATCCTCTCCCTGGATTCCAGGGAGAAGAGATCAGCACCTCCTTCTTCACCTCCCCTCTTCAGGAAGTTGTAGAGATCAAAGAGGTCACCCCTCAGCCTCCTTCTCTCCAAACTAGACAAACTCGGAGCCCTCAGCCGCTCCTCACAGGACATGCCTTCCAGCCCTTTCACCAGCTTTGTTGCCCTCCTCTGGATGCATTCAAGGACCTTCACATCCTTCGTAAATTGCAGGGCTCAGAACTGCACACTCAAGGTGAGGCTGCACCAATGCTGAGTACAGCAGGATAATCCCCTTTTTTGACCAGCTGGTGATGCTGTGTTTGATGCACCCCAGGATGGGGTTTTCCCTCTTGGCTGCCAGAGCACACTGCTGACTCCTCTTGAGCCTGCCGCCCACCAGCACCCCCAGGTCCCTTTCTGCAGGGCTGCTCTCCAGCCCCTCCTCTCCCAATTTATACTTGTGCCTGGCATTACTCCATCCCAGGTGCAGAATCTGGCATTTGTTCTTGTTAAATGTCATCCCATTGATGGTTTCTCAGTGGTCCAATTTATCCAGATCCCTCTTGAGGGCCTCTTGTCCCTCAAGAGAGTCAACAGCACCTCCTGGGTTAGTACCATCAGCAAATGTGCTAATGGTGCATTCAACTCCTGCATCCAGATCATTGACAAAAATATTGAACAGAATTGGCCCTAGAATTGAGCCCTGAGGGACACTGCTAGTGTCTGGCCACCAACCAGATGTAGCCCCATTCACTACAACATTTTCAGCCCTGCTCTTCCACCAGTTCTTCATCCAGCGCACTGTATACCTGCTTGTCTTACAGCTGGATGACTTGTCCAGAAGGATACTGTGAGGGACAGTATCAAAAGCCTTACTAAAATCCAGAAAAACTACATCCACCACCTTTCCTTCATCCACTAAGTGGGTGACCTTGGACTCTTAGAGTTAAGGCACTTTCTTTTCTTGTCACAAGTCCCTGAAAGTGGTGATAATTCTTCAGGGAATTTATCACAAATGAGGTTGGAATTTGAAGCGCTATAATCGGACCCTGTACTGCTACATAAGGAAGAATATACAGCTTCATCTCTGTCACAGAGCTATGTTCAGACAAGGATAATAGACCATGTCATGATAACAAGACTCAGTTCTGGCTATGCTGCAGAGCTGAAGCAGTCTCCCTTGGTAGGAAAGAAGTTTAAAGTTGAAAAAAACACCATGGAAGTCTCTAGTCTGTGGGGTGGCCTCATATATATCGTAGTGCCAAAGGAGAGCACATTAGGCCAAATATCAGTCACGATTAAAGAGGCTGTGCAGGCTCCGTTCTTCAGGCTTGGGAAGTGGTCCCAAAACCAAACTGTAGATGGGTGAGTAAAGAAGTATTTCTGTATTGATGTCTTGCCTATATTTTCCTGGGTTTTTTGTGGTCGTGTATGGAGAAGACCTCAGAATATATAATGCCCCAGGAAAGCCTTTGCAAAAAGCTTCGTATTTCTCAGTGCAGAAAGTATATTGACAGGACTTTCATTTTGGAATTAATCTCTGTCCGTGTTCCCAGTATGAGCATGTCTGAGATACCTTTAAAGTGGCTTGATATTAAAAAATGAATATCATGAATCTCTTGCAGTGACAGTAGACATAGGATCACCAAAGGTGACTGGACCCCTCACCAGAATCTCAGGATTTCCCCCGATTCAGTAAACCCCAGTCACATCTAGATGAACTTATTGTTTCTGAGGCTATGCAGAGGGTTTTAGCCATGATGATTCTCCTGTCTCTTCATGCTTAAAACTTCATTTTAAATTGGCTGTCTTTTTTCACCTAAATGCTGAATCAGAGGAAGCATCTCTCTCTGACAGTCACCCATCCATCAGTACCCAGCCCCCTGGGCTGAGCTGGCCACAGAGAACATCATCCTGACAGTACTAGCTGCTGATGTACATCACATGGACAACCCAGAGAGTCTGCTTTCCACCTGGAACAAGGTGATGAATGCAACAGCCAGACTGGCAGCCATCCCAGCAACTTTTCCAAGGCCGGAGAGGATGGTGGCAGATGTCCAGATATCTCATGGCAAATATAATAACTAGAACATTTTGTCTTTATCTGTGATGGATATTTGTAAGGGAAATACACAAGACAGTAACATTATCACAAGATCATGCAAATCCTCAAATCAGCGGATGAATCCCATCAAGTTCAAGGAGACAGCTCGTGAAAGCAAGAATCTTCTGTGAATGTCAAGTTCTTGTACACAAAAACAACATTCTGCTCTAAATCTGAGGCTATCCCAGGGTAAAATACAGTGCGTGGAGACAGGCTGGCCACCAAATGACGTGTATACTATGTCATGTTACTCTTGTTACTGTGGGAGTGAGTTTATGGTAATTGCAACAGAAAGAAGGGAAACAGAGCTAGCTGCTTTAGGCAGGACAAATGAGATCTTGAAACTTAAATTAAGGCACGAAACGGGCACACAGGCAGCCTACTATGTTAGCAGGCATAGGATCACTTGCATCAGTGGGGAAGTCAGGGTAGTGGTAATGGGGAAAACTTTGTTGTAGGCAGCATTTTGCTATCTGCCATTTGAGAAACATGCTGCTTAAAGACAATTCACTAGGACAGTGAACTGGCTGGGGCCAGTTATGGGTGGTAAGGAGGCTCCTAAAGGCTAAATCTCATCATTATTTGCAATCAATCTTTGTCCAAGTATTGCACTTTTCTCAGTAGGACTGGCAGGTGCTTTCAGCCCTACTTGATTGCAACACTAGAGGTGTTTTCTGCTACTTGAGTTAGTAAGTTCCTCAGTTGCCCAGGCCACCACTCTGTCAATAATCCACAGCTCTAGCAGCTTAACTCATGCGGTGTAGCTGCTGTCAGTCAAGTAGCACTAATTCACGAGAGGCTGGCTCAAGTGTAAACAACTTGCACTTCAGTTATTCATAACCAGTTAATTATAATCACTAGTGAAATATAACCAAAATAAATAATGAACCCCCTTTCAATACTTAAAGAGGGCTTATAAGAAAGATGGGAGAGACTTTTTAGTAGGGCCTGTAGTGATAGCACAAGGGGTAATGGTTTTAAAGTAGATTCAGACTAGATACAAATAAGAAATTTTTTACAATGAGTGTAGTGAAACATTGGAGCAGGTTGCCCAGAGAGGTTGTAAATGCCCCATCCCTGGGAACATTCAAGGTCAGATTGGACGGGGCTCTGAGCAACCTGATCTAGTTGAAGATGTCCCTGCTCATTGCAGGGGGGTTGGACTAGATGACCTTTAAATGTCCCTTCCAACTCAAACCAATTAATGATTCCGTAACAAATAGGTGCTATGTTTCTATACTGCAATATGCTCCTCCAAGCATATCCTCATGTAAGAAGGATTTTGTCAGAGTAATCAATCATTACATCTGCCCACATATGGATCTGAATTTAACAAAGAAGTTGTAATCTGTCAGTGAGTCTGCAACAATTGTGTTTAGATTACGTCAGTTGCTAATTTTCGTAACTGCTAACCCTTCAAGCTCAACAGGGAACATGGGAGTATTATATTTTTCTCGTTCATTCTTAGCATTAGTGACAGCTCTATTTGATAATTCAGACTCAGGACACAAAGGTCATGAATAGTTTTTGTCGTGGTTTGGCCTCAGGCAGCAACAAAGAACCACACAGTCGCTCACACAACTCCCACAGCCGTGGAAAAAAAAAGAATCGTCAGGGCAAAACTCGTGGGTTAAAATAATGCAATTTAACAGAACAGCACAAGGAAAAGATGAAAACGCGATTACAGTACCGCCACGATGTGCACCGACCCGCACGGCCGCAGCCCACCCCCAAGTGGCGACTACTCTCCTCGCCCCGGCTAGCTCTTCTTATAGCCCGGGCGTGGGTCACGTGGTATGGAATACCTGCCCCCTGCCGGCTCCTGGGGAAATTAACCCCATCCCTGCTGAAACCAGGACATTTTGTACAGGTATAAAGGATGAGCAAGAAGTTCATCTGGCAGTGCATGCCAGAGAGCAGGGTCCATCCCTTTCCCTGCTTTGCTTCAGCTGTATTGACTCTATAAGCCTAGTAAGCATACCATGGCCTATGTATAACCCAGTAGGTTTTGTGCTGACACAAGCGGCTGTTCTATAGTAATTTTTACTGATGCACAGGAAGAACTGACTTCCAAATGCCTGACTTGAAAATCCTTGGATGTCTACAGATGGAGGTGAACTTTCA